GTGTGTGTGTGTGTGAGAGAGAGAGAGAGAGAGAGAGAGAGAGAGAGAGAGAGAGAGAGAGAGCGGCTTGGTATAACGTGGTCGAACAGCGCATATGTATACATATGTACATGTATATATACATACATATACATAGAATGTGGCGCTGCTGTAACATTTTCATTCGATAGATAACGCGATATTCGAACTAACGACAATTACGAATGGACGAAACACGCGTCGCACGATATACGAGGGAACAGGAGCGAAGAGATGCGCGAGCCCCGCTGTCGATTATCCGGTCGAATGCCGCGCTCTCTCGACCATCTCGTACGAACTTCAGTCCCGTTATATTCCCTTAACCATCACGGTCACCACCATTACTATCGACATCGTTCACCACCGGGAGTTCTTACTTGGACGTTCAACGTGATCGTCGTAACCGACCCCATTGTTCCTAGTTTACACGCGTATATGTACATCCGTCGTAACTACGAGACAACTAACGATGCACACAAAAACATTGCGCACTATCGCCGCGCCGCGGCTAGTCACATGCATACGCACACAGTTACCGGCGACGCGTCCTAGGAAACCAGCGCTGTCTCCCCGTCGCGGCTGACCCCGAAAACAACGAGGTTTCCGCGATGAATAGAGAAGGGTATCTCTCTTAGCGGCCGTCACGACGGAAAGAACCATGGGCAGAGACGGAGAATAGGAGACAGGACAGGGATACCGAAAGCGCGTTGCGCGCACGAAACACTTCAAGGCACGCGTGCCCGATCGCAATTTGTGTTGTAAACAGAACGAGATGTGGGCCATCATCGATGACACCGAGATGATGCGCCGTACACGTTGGGCGATCGGGGCGCGCGTGCGCGCTCTAGCACGCGTACGCACACCAGCGCAACCGGTAGCCGCTAATCGAATCATACACCAGTGTAACGCGCACGTACACTCACGCACGCACGCCTGTTGCTCACGCACGTGCGTGCAGCGTATTCGTATGCGTGTCACGCACACGGCTGCGCTACATTCTCGTTTCTGACGCACACACGTCCTTAAAGCGAGGATACATGTATGCGTTCGTACGTGAGTGTACGCGACTCGCTCCTCTCATGGCCACGCATTGCGTAATCAGCACCAGCGGCAGAGTCACGCCGAGGTACAAAACGAACGACAAAGCGCGGCAAATACCGCTGCGTTTCGAGAGCCTGAAATCCTCGCTCGTCCTCCCTGTCTCTCTCGCTCCCTCGCACTGTCTGTTCGTCTCTCTCTCTCTCTCTCTCTTCCTCACTCCGTTTCTCCAACTCTGTCCCTCCCTCGGACACCATTCTCATTCTCTCCCTGTCTCGCTTTCTATCTTGCCCCGTCTCTCTTTCTCTTTTTGTTCCACTGCTTATGTGCCCTCCCCTTGTTGGCTGGCCTGTGCCTCCTACCTTTTACTGTTTCGACGCTTCCGCGTATAGAGGATACGGGTACGTACACACATCGCATGCACGCCTAGCCGGAGGTGGTGTGCCCGTGTCTCTACTAGGTATT